CAATATTTATTATATGCGTATGATATATTGAATTGAATCGATCAAAGAATTTGGATGTTTAATGTTTTGGTGGTTAATTATGCTGTAAGTTATTGCTTTCGATCAATAATTTCCATGTAGTGTTTTAAAATGTTGAATCTGACCCATTTCCATGTGGCCGTCAAAGTTATATTTTATCTCTTTTTGTTCAACTTGCAAAATGACATCAAACTGGCACAAAAATGATGAACTGATCGCAATCAATAATCGCATAAATAAATACGGCACTGCATGTGTTCGTCTTCTTTTGTTTTAATGATTGCGCATTTTGTTCGGCTGGAATTCGGCGTTTTTTTTATACAATGCATTAGGATAAAAATCGACGCACAATATCTTAATGGTTACATGTTTTTCGCGTCTGATCGAAAACATTTTCACTTTGGCTGAAAAACAAAACATGGCTTCGTGGCGAAAAAAAAAACGTAAAAGTATCATTTATCCTATGGTGTTGAACCAAAATAAATCATATTCAGAAATTTATCACGTAATTTGAGCGCTGCATCAAAACATACACCACATACAAATCGGACGAAAAAAGGTGAAAATGAAAGAAAAAAACGTCACAAAAAACAGAGAGAGAGAGAGAGAGAGAGAGAGAGAGAGAGGGAAGAAGGGCCCAAAGGCAATCAATTCGAACAAGCATTTTAAGTCTATCAATTTGTTCATTTTTCGCGTTTATTCGTTCGTGCGTCATGTAATGTCTGCACAAATTGATCGGTTTTCTTTAACACGAACATCAACAAAAAATAAATAGTAATAAAACGACGAAATGTTCGAAATTAAATGATGTTCGACTAAACTTGCTGTGACAAGCGTCAAAATTAATTGTGCTTTGTGGTACAAGTTTGTTCAGAGTTTGAATGAAAGCCAATTGTGAAAATTCGATTCGTCTAGATGAGAAATTGACAGTTGAATAAAATCGAGATAATTTTGAATGAATTTTTTATTTTGATATTTGCAAATTCAAAAAAAAAAATGAAAAAGATTGGCCAATCAAAGGATTCATTGTAAAATTCCAGAGTCCTCGTTTCATATTATGCATTTCAATCGTCACCGCATTTTTTATATTTTAGTTTTATGCTTTCATGTTTTACGGTTCTGCTTCAGGTAGCTAATATTCTATGTAAAAAATTGTTTTTTGTTTTCTCTTTGATTTGTTTGTTACTTGATTTTATTTGGTATTTATGGTGAGAAATGACAATTATTTGGTGCTTGTTCGGGTGGATCATTTTTCTAAATGACATATTTCGCCCGCCTGCATTCAAAACAGCAGCAACAACGACCAAATTCGAATAAAAAATGATAAAACAAATGAAACGGCTCCAAACGAACACACAGACTGTGTATCGGGCGCAAATGAGTGGGTGATTTCGATTATGTTGCACGCAATTCAAACGGATACGAAAAACAAACACCGAATATGAGCAACAGCAACAAAACGGCAAAGCGACGAGCCAAAGAAGAGAAAAAACCAACCAGACGCAAATGAAAATTAATAACAAAAAATTTATTATCCACACACGCGAATCTTATATCAATTTTTGTGTGTTTGACTTGTGTAAAGTTTTTGGCGATATTACTTGATTGTGTATTGTGTCATTTACGTGAGGAATGAGAGCATAAATTCGATTATGATGATATGCGTTCCATTTCCGTTTTTTTTTTATCAAAAAGAAAAACAAAAATATTAAAGTAATTCGGTCGCAGTTCCGCAAAATGTGACCGAGCAAAAATAGAAGCGACTAGAATACTACGCATTATTAAAATGGAATTTATAATGCATATGCATGGGAAGCTAGTCATCTGCTACTATGAACTGAATACTCAAGGTAATTATCACGATCGCCTAAAATTACAGAACGAAACAAAAAATAACAGCATTTTTTAACACTCACACAAAAAAGTCTTTTTAAAATTTACAAAGGGTAAATGGTGTGCTGCATTTAATTTTTACAGGGAAATATTATTGGAATAAAACAAATCGTCTTCAGTAATTAAATATCGCTCATACGAATTATAATTACAGCCTGATGACCTTTGATTTGCTTTTTTTCATTTGGTAGGTGTTTTCGAATAGAAAAAATTGGAAAAAGATCAAAACGGGGATGAGACTTATGGGCGATAATGACACTTATATAAATCTGGATCGCTAATAGGGTCCAACATTTTGAGCTGTTTGACGATCTTAATAATGGGTGCCATTAACGTAGCGAAACGTGTTTGCAATTAGAAAGAAGTGAAAATGATGAGCCTGTTGTCATGTTTGAACAATTAGACATCGCAATGTGAAGTAAATATACTTCGTCCTCATAACCAGAAGTCTCGTTGTTGAAACATTATTGTGATTAAAACTGAAAAAAAAAAAAAAAAAAACAGATCTTACAAGGGCAAAACTAACTTTTCCATAAATTGATCGACTCACAGAAAGAAAAAAATGTGGTATTTTTAATTCAATTTTGGTAGATTTAATATAAAATCAATCAACAACGAATTAAATTTACCATTTTGACATCTCTGAGGCAAATTTTTCAAAAGTGACTATTTGTTGAATAAGTTTTACAAACTGCTTTATTACATTTACCAACTTTTCGGAACCACAGATGACGCTAGCCCATGAATTTGATGAGACTTATTCGTCTATTTTGAAAAATATGCCTCAGAGATGTCAAAAATGGTAAATTTAATTCATTGTTGGTTGATTTTATATTAAATCTACCAAAACTGAACTAAAAATACCACATCTTTTCTCTCTGTGCTCCTGTTTATGATTTTACTGTGTGAAAAAAATAATATTTTATGTATTTTCAAATTACTTGTCGTCGCATTAAAAACGATTATTTGAGCCGCTTTGCAGTGGTTACAATACTTTTGCCATTCGCATATCACATCGCCAATGAATTATTGATTGAATAACTGAACGTAGAAAAAAAAATTCCAACATCGAATATTACTTAGACATTTGTCGCATTTCACCTGCCACAATCCTATCATTACGTCTATATGCATGTTCGTTGGACAATTGCTGTATAATTACATCCGTTATTACGGTTCAATATGAATTATTAACACCATATATGAAATACACGCGCTCGCTTTTATTTTTGTCGTTTGTCTACATTTCTCGCGCCCCTTTCTACCCCCTCTCGCACTCATGCTGTTTTAACTCCGCATTTAGAGTTTTCCAAGTATTGATAAAACAATAAAAAAGTGCATTTGTGATACTATAGACTATATTCTACCGAAAACATGTCTTTGAACACGCTTGACGGGTGTATGCATTGTACATTTTGATACACTATGGGTGCTAATTAGATTGTAAAGTTGTTGAACGGAAGCACCCAAATATCATAGGCATTACAATAAATTTCGAAACTTTTGGAATGATTGATTTTTCGTCTCTTTAGCCCAGTTTCTCAAGAGTACCCCTACCACAATAAATTTTTTTATGGAAATTGTTAAGAATCACTGGACTTCATTAGTTATTTACCGACAAACTTTTGTGGCGCTCATTAAATTACGGTCGATTGAACCAAAAACTATTTAAATTCGATGATTTTATTTTGAGCGTTTGATGCTATTTTTAAAACGACATTTAATTCCAAGTAAATGAATTTTGATGTTATCGTTAAAGATATATTTGAACATTATTTATTGCTTCATTTTTTTTTCTTCGGTTCATACATTTCGGTGACATTCACTTTTTTCCGTTACATAAATTTATGTGTTGCATTAGAAACTTTTGTGTTGAAACTCAAAATAGTAAAAAAGGTCCAGTTATATTCACAATTTACAATATGTAAACGACAAATGGCATGGCGTTTCACCATAAAGTACAGCCAAAACAAATCAAGTTTTTTAATTCGTCACACGATTACCCAAATAGATAGAACCAAAGTCATATTCGACCAATCGCAACGCTTCACGCTGACTATAATTACTGGCTTTTGGATTACAGCCTATAAACTATTACCTCGGTAACATGCAATCGTATTATCCAGTTTGTATATGATATCATGGCAACGATGTATAAAAATGGACATTAAATGATCGAAAAAGTTCAAATCGGTGTGTTTGTATTTTAGTAATTTTCGTTTATTTTCCAATGACATAGGAGGACATGCATTTTATTCACCAAAAAAATTAAAATTACCATGATATGATAACTAAAACAAGTTCATTCAAAAACCGCCGATTTAATGAGTAAATGGCGGAAAGTCAATTGGCATACATTTTATCAACACAATTGTTGCAAGAGAGTTAAGCGTACGAAATAAACAATTTCCAGTGGTAAATTACGTCAACTCTACCCCGTTTGTTGTAAATAAAGTATTGAGTGTGGTGGTTCGTGGCAAATCACGAACGATAGAAAAAGGTTTTCACGGACAAAGTATAAAGCCGCCCACACACAAACGTACATCATACTACAAACAACAACACATTCAAAACAACCAATTGCTTGCGGCTGCCCGCCACATATACCCTCACACATAAAACAAATATTCGTTCATTTGCTCTGGTTTTTTTGTGTATTTGATTGTTTTTCGCTAGTAATATGGTTTGGTGTTGGCGCAAACGTCGTTATTGTTGTTTCCGTCACTTTTTCATCCCTGATTTTTTTTTTTCGATTTTTTTTCTCGCTCGTTTCAGTGGTGATTGTCTCTTTGAACCATGTATATTAGAAGGACTTTTATTACAATTCGTTCCAGTTAGAATTCAATAGTTATGCGAATCGGACGACGATCCTTATTTGTTACGCCTTGTTTATCAAATTTAGTGCCTTATTGTCTAAAATTTAGTCCCATATGTGGTTGTCATGCGAATTTATAGTTGAAGTTTTACATTAAACATAAGAACAGTTGTTTTTTCTTCTTTAAAGATTGTCTAGTTAACGTTTTGACAATCATTTTGTGACTTTATACAGATTATGACTCTTAGATTAGAATTAAATGGAGAAGTTTTGATCTCTGGCTAATAATAATAATTCAGTGAATTCTGTGTGAATAAATGTGATTTATTTTTTAAATTATCCATTACGGTGACAAGAATACGGAAACAAATGAAAGCAAAAATGTGCAATGGACCATTGTATGTTGATTCATTTTCAGCATTTCAATTGCTCAGGAACTACAATAGACTCGTTACACCAACACCAACAGGTTTGTTATTTATTTTCAAATTGTTTTCTCAAGTTGATCACATTTTTATTTAATTTACAAAAAAAAAATGTCGTCGTGAATATTTTAACATTGAATTTAAATGTGGGTAAATCAGAAGCTATTAAATTTTTTATGAATGAATTTTATTTTGATGAGATCAACATAGAGACTAAATCGGGAAACCAAAGGAAAAAAATTAATAAAATCAAATAGTTGACCGATTTAGCTTAACTAGATAACTAATAAATTTTTTATGGTGTTGATGTCAAAGCGATTATTTTAAAATCGTTTAACCAACACAAAAGTTTTTAATTTTATGAATATAATAATTCGTCTGAAAATTAACATTTAAATCTTAATCAAATTTTTAACGTCAATAAAAAGTTAGCACTTATTTTATCACAATCGAAGCGAGATCAGCAGAGAAGAAGATTGACAGAGAGATAAAGAAAGGTAGAGAGGGAACAGAAAGAAAGAAGAATGAAAAGAATTCGATAGTTTTGCACCAAATCTGTTGGATATTGCACATCGTTATCGAATATTATGGATGACGGTGATGATGATGAAAATATAGTGCGAATTCAAATCGAATGTCATTTAATTGCGGTCGTTGGCGATATATTGTATATTTATACATATAGGTTGTTGTTGTCGTCATTGGTGTGTTTTTATTTACGAGATAAACAAAAAAAAAAATTAAGACTTGAAAAGGGCAAAAATTCCAAATCGTCCAAAACGTGTTGTGTTGCGCTATCAAACCACAAAATTGCTTCACAATATATCGCATTACATTCCCATGTTTGTATGTGGTGTTTTTTTAGTCAGAAGTTGACTAAAAGTCACGATGTATTTTTACTGTTCTAAACAAAGTTTCGAGTGGGATGTGAACAGTAATTGAAATTTTATTTGCTGTTGTGTGCTTTAAATTTTATTTTTCTTCTCTCTCTCCCTTTCTCTCTCTCTCTCTCTCGCTCGACTCTTCTCATCGGTGTCAATACTCGCTGCTAAATAGTATCAAACTCTTTTCTTTTTCTTTGCCTCTATGCTATTCTTTCTCTTTCTCTCTTTTGATGTTTTGCAATTCCGTTGTCGTGTGTACAGATTTCAATCAGTACTATAACCTAGCTCTGTTAAAAGATTTCGAACGCACTAGTGCAGCATTCGGTTTGGGAGCTCCAAATGATTTTGTACCATCGATAAATCCACTAAAAACCATTACACCGCTGAAGGAGTACCAACCAACCGGAGAACTGAATAACATATTAAAGAAACCATCAAGTAATTATTATTGTTTTTGGTTGTTGTTTTCGATCTTTTTTTCTTTGGTTTGGTTTTATTTTTATTTTTTGCTTTGATTTTCAGTATTTTGTTGTTATTTTATTGAGAAGTTGCGAGTGCGAAATGGTTTTTTAATGAATGATTCAATTCATAGGTCCCAATCGAATGACGGTATCGTCAACGTGCTCTCCGACACCATCAACACAGGTAAGCAATCGATTGCAAAGCGATTCGGTCAACAATTTTACAGAAAATCAGAACACATGCGATCGATTGCCCAACGAAACAAATCGATTTGATGGCTACACTGAAACTCTTGCAATTCCACCAAATTTAATACCAACGAATTCAGTTAAAACAAATGGCAATATTATACCAGCAAATCTTCCGTCAATTGATAATTTTCAATGTATTTTGAATCGACGACAACGTGGCGAAAAGCGACCCATTCCAGACGAACAAAAAGATGAAAAATACTTTGAAAGACGGAAACGGAACAACGAAGCAGCCAAAAAATCTAGAGACGCACGCAAAATTAGAGAAGATCGAGTGAGTATACGAAATTTGACGATTAATTCAAAGCCTTTTCCATTCGATTTACTTAACACATCGAAAATGTTAAGAAATCTTGAGACTCTGTCAGTCTTAATCTATTTGATTTGTATAATTTCCAAAATATTTTCACAATCTAAGTTGAATTTGTGATTGATGACAAATGAGATTTATTTTAAGGAATTATTTAAATAACGTTAGCATTTGAAAAAAAAAATGCGTTCGTCATTATTGATCGTTCAACTGTAATAATTTTCATCGTTTTGCTTTCATTTGCAGATTGCATTCCGTGCAGCATTGTTGGAACAAGAAAATGCAATACTTCGAGCACAAATTTTAGCTCTTCGAGAGGAGCTCGCAACATTACAACAAATGATTTGTAATCGTGCAAATATTCAATAAGATCTTATAAATGAACTTGTCAATCAGAATCTCATAAGTTACCACCTGTAGTTGGGCTGACAACCACAACACACAACAAATGAAATGTGCAATCAATTTGAAATTTGCGTGAAAACTCAATACTAATTGACACAGCAAACTTAACTATAAGAATCAAAGTGTTTTGTAGATAAAAAAAAATCACGAACCACATCAAAAGTGCACTTAAAACAAACTGTCCATTGTTTCTGTTTTGTGTGAGATATTTTGTAAAATTATTCAAATCAAGCAAAATAAATATAGATAGATAGAGAGAGCCGAGAGAAGAAGAAAAATACCGACTAAAAATCCTTTTGGTACTGTGAGTGTGTTTGTGTATCAATTTTATGTGTTTTTCATAAGCCATCAATGGTTTCTATTGGTTTTATAAAGATAAACTGGAGAAAGTATTTTGTTTACAAAAATCATTAATCTAATAATGTTATTGCCGGCATTTCACCATTGTTCTGGCGATGGCTTTGTCAAATATGCTACAAAACCAAATGCTATTCAGCATTTACAAAAGGCGATTGTTAGGCCAAAGTGTCTAAACAAATCAAAGAATGAGAATGAACGAGAAAAATCCGGGGGAGAGAAAGAGAGTGTGTGAGGGAAAAGCTGAAGAAAAAAATCCAAATTTTTGAAGCCATCGAGAGCCGACCAAATGATTTGTACCGGTATAAATGCCAATGCAACGAACAATAGATCCTTTTGTTAAAATGCTCGAAAGCAATTTTTCATTGCCATTCCAAAATAAATAAAAATGGCAATCATAAACACGCACACACAAAAGCGATAACAGCGATCAACTGCCAAAACAACGTAATGGGGAATGAAAAGGTCCCGTGTTCAAAAGCGAAAAAAAGGAGAGAGAAACAAAAATTGAGGGCATCAAAGGAACACACGCACACTCATAAAATATCGGGAAAAGAAACAGGACAAAAAGCAAGAACCGTTTGAAATGAAAACGTAACAATGATGACGAAACATTGGCATTGTAATGTATAAAAATGTGTGTGTGTGTGTGTGTGTGTGTGTGTGTGTGTGTGTGCGATGGTAACCCAATTTACCGACGTTACCAATCGTTGATCGTTCGGTCGACGAGCACGTCCTCACATTAAAAACATGACACAAATAGGGCTGAAAGGTAGATAGATGTCAATGTTTAAGTGTTGTCCGAATTATATGTCTGTCTGTTTGTTCACAAATATGTATGCTGTTTCACTTTGATGACATTGAAAATGTCATCCCTGCTTGACGTAAGTAAACCATTTTCATGACCATTTTTTCTTGTAATAATAAATGATTATCGCTCGAATCACAGCTTTCTCCGTTTCCAACGAACATTCTGTATTCAAACGAAGAAAAAAGAAATGTTTAATGATGACCTGCTAGGTAAGCATTTTTTAGCTCCTTTAGCGACGGTAATTATTCATAACTTTGGCACCCGAATGAATGAACCATAAAAGTACATTAAATCGACGTTGAACATCTTAAAAAACGAACGCACTCAATCGTGTCTCACTTTGACGCGCATTTCTCTTTTCATTTAATGTAAATAGTAATAAATCGCTTGACGTCGACATTGTTACAATTTTGCTTCTTTTTTTTCAAGATGTTTGCTTTTGTTTCTGGTTCGGTATTCTTGTCCCTCTGGGTATGCGCGCAGGGACATACTTAACTAGATATAATAGGAATTATTAGCTCACATATTTGATGTTTCACCATGTAACACACCACATTTACACGGGCTCACCAAGATCCTTTCGTCACTATAACTGTAGCATTATTACATATAGATATGACACGTCATAAATTAAATACAACATTTTTTTGCTTTTCTGTCATCTTGACGAATCTAGTAAGAAGAAGGGTTCATCTTGAATGTGTTTTAACATCATTTAAAAAAAATGTATAGCAAGACAATGAAGCGTTTATTTCGTTGAAATTGTTTCCACACCATTTCAAGAGCATTACTAATTTCCACTTAAAATAATGATCGAATAGAAGGATATAGAAAAAAAATAATTTCACTTGGTTTTTCACAACTGTTTCTCAGCACAAATTCCATGGAAATCGGCCATCATCATTAAATTGCTAATCATACATTCAATTTTGGTTTCGCTTACATTTCGAGAACTGAGGAAATCAAAATTCAAATCGATTAAAAAAAATGCTCCCAGAATTCAGAATAAAGTCAAGCGCAATATATTCTCGTTTTGATGTGAACGTGACTCATCTACTTCAAATCAATCTACCTGTGTATTTAAAATAAGTTAACCATTTGTTGTTATGCGTTTGTTTAACTTTGTCACGAAATGTAATTTATAAGCAGTTTTTCCGGTGTGCAATCGTTGTTTCGATCGAAATCTGTGTGAATCTTCGCGGAATAAAACGAGAATAAAAATGATTTCATTCGGACTTGAATCCTGTATAATTCACAATTCGAATCCGGGTCCACAAATAAATATTATCTTTGAGATCGATTTTCTTCGAATTGTATGTGGCTTTGAAATTGAATTGTCTCATGGGGATGCAACTTTGGTGTGACAATTTTAAGTTTTTTTTTTTTTTTTGAAGAACGATACCAAAGAAAAGTGTCTCAAGAGCAAAATGACAAACAAAACCATTTGAAAAACTATAATGTATGGCACACACTCAAAAGCCACAAAATAATCAAACCAATTCTGCCACTGAATGTCCAACACCTTTCATTGCAATACAAACCATCAACGATCGACCGACGCACACAATGTGTCCTTGTTAACCGTTTGTCTTATTTTTATGGCAATGCCAACAAATTGTGTATCGCATTTCATTGTCATCAATTTTTTTTCTTCTCCCTTTTTCAATTCTTCTCATACGCATTCGCATCTTCAACTCTAGAGACAACGAGAGACAACCAAGAGACATTTTCTCTTTTACTCTTGAGATATATCTGTCCGAAAATGTAAGTAAATAAATTATCATTGTTCACGATATGATTTACCTGTATTTAGTTGTATTTCAACTGAAATGCATACAGTTTCTTTTGGTGTCATTTTCTTTCTCGCTTTGTTGTGGGCAGAGAAATTTGACGGCAATGAGACCTGAATTTTTTCCATCGAATTTATTTTCATGATGCTGCCAAAACAATGGCATTTTATGTTGATCTTCAGAGAATTTGATGGTATCCTTTTATTATTATTACACCAAAGTTTGGAGTCAAAAAGACAAAAATTGTTCAATCTGAATAAATAAGCATACAATAAATCGTCTTTTAAAAAAAATGTATCCCAAAATCAAGAGAATTGAAATTCAATAAGAATGATCATGATTTGATTTGAAATAAGCTCAACGAATGTTTGAATAGTCAATGTGGACGAGCCCATTTATTTTCATATTGATCATAATCAAAATCCATTTGCATTACGCAGACAGCGAGACTAATCGAAGGATATTGAGTGGAATATCTTGCTACTAATTCTTTCCATTCCATTTACAATAACAGTCGACATAGTTTTGAAATAAACGTTACTTTAATTTTGACTTGTGTGTGTGTGTGTGTGTGTCACTGTAACATTTAGTTAGTTGTTTTATTGTTCATTGACGCTTACGCTGCCAAATGTATCAAACTAAAGCTGAAATATTAAATCATAATCAATGGGGTGATGTTCGTTATAAATTATCGATTATTATCCATTTTCTTTTTCCGTTGTGTTGTTTACCGTTTTATTCTCTTTCTTTTTTTTCATGTCACTCTCCAAGTACCATAAGCGTACATCGTCAAAGAAGAATCTGCAGAGTATGAATTGTGAAAGAGAGTGAATATTGAATGTGCGTTGTTGTGGCTGCGTAGCAAATTTACAAAACGAAATTCGAATGAGTGTGTATGTTTTGGCATGAATCAAACGTATAATACCACACGCAATATGACATTAGCTTCATAAAACGTAGGCACGCATTAAAAACAAACGTACGCACCAAATGCCAAAACAATGAACAAAAAATAAATAAATCGAACACGAGATGAGAACACAACGAGAAAGAGAGAGAGAGAGAGAGAGAGAGAGAGAACGCAGTGAAAAGAAGTGGAATAAAACGATAAATCCATTAAATAAAGTGCCTGGAAGTTCATAAATAGTTGATTTTTATAACTTTCAAACGCATTCGATAGATTACATGCGATTGATTTATGGATTTTTCATAGACTGTAACAAACAACCAACGAGACTATACAAAAGCGACAATATATATGTTTTGTTCGATTTTTCGTCGATTTCTCTATCTTTTCTAGTGTATTTCTGTCGTTTTGTATGTGTGTATTTGTCGAGAATGTATCTCTCCCGGAATGTCACAATATTTATATTGTCAATGCTTGTGCACAATTCAATTGTTGCACAATCGACTTTTCGTTGTCTATTTTTTCTATTTTTATTGATTTCTCTCTCTCTCTCTCTCTTGCTTCTTCTCTCACTGTTGGTCTCCATTCTGTTGATGTTTCTCTTCATTTCTCGCTCTTTTGCTTGCATTCATTTTCGTAATGAATTTGTAGGCATCTGTGTTATCCGTTTGCACATTATCGATCCGCTTACCGTAAATTATTATTCGATGATCATACTCTCATTGTCATCGTGTGTGCAGCTATCGTTTGTCGTTTTTGTGTGTTTTTTGTTTGCTGTTGTTTCTCAGTGTTTTGTTCACTCATGTTCGGCGGTTCTGTATCTGCTTAGGGCAAATTTGTGCATTCGGTCAGTTTGATACTTTGAACTTTCAGCCCTGAGATATTTGAAAAAGATCTAACTTCGTTGTTTTATTGGTCCTCGCATCAATTCAATTTGGCATTATGAAAATGTTGCAAAATAAATGAAATTAAAAAAAAACAAATAAGATACGCAAAGAAATATCATATAAAACTAAATAACGATGATGACGTTGATAAAAATAGAATCAATTTTATTTTTTAGTTCAGCGCATAGTTTCTCGTTATGTATGTTGTCCGCGTGACCGAATTAACGACAAGCACATTGTCTTACATTCAGTGCACTTCATAATTTTGTTGTTGTTGCCATTCGTGTTTTCATTTATATAGATATTTTGTTGTTGTTTTCTTCTCTTCTCTCGATTCGATTCGGGCTGCATCATTTGCATTTACATTCGGAAATGTTTGTTGATCATTCCCATTTTAGTGTGCATGGTGTTTGGTTGGTTTGTGTTCATTTGTTCTTGAACATTTGACAGCCGTTTAATTGATGTCATTTTTGTGAGCGCACAGCCGTTCATCAAATGCAAAT